TCTTATAGCTAGTGAAATATTAGTTAGTATGGAAATATTTCAGTCGATGATATGGAAGAAGAACTAAGGTGTTTCCTTTGTCAGAAATGGGAAGATTCAAAGAAATTCCGAACACTCGGACAAAAATCAATTAACATTACCTTTATAGCGCATCGTCGACAATAGCTATGTCCGCAGAGTAGGAGGATAGGATCTTCGAAAAACTTCCGACAAAGGAAACACCTCAGTTCTTCTTCCATATCATCGACTGAAATATTTCCATACTAACTAATATTTCACTAGCCATAAGAACACTCAAAACAGGCGGATTGCTATGGAAAATTGGCTTTCGTTAGCCCTTACGTAAAGAGACGAGGCTATCATTACAAGTATTGATCGGAAGGATAAAAAGAATTAGTGAAAAATCAATTTTGAAGCCACTGTTGGCGAGTGTGACTTCTTTACACAGACTGTTCGATGGGATGGATGGCTCAAATGATCCATTAGTAATGAAAGTTAATGGGGCAATTTTCATTGGAAAAAACCTTTCTAGTGCAAACATTTCGACTATGGAAGCGCTAGTGCTCATTCGAAGGCCGAGTTCGGCCAACAAGGCAGCACTGACAAACAATTTGTCTATGCAGGAGTCGTTAGTGAAGTTAACGATAGACAAACAATCTCAGGTTCTCCAGACTCTCCAGACATTGGGGTAGAATATGGCGAGCGCTGGGATTAGATAGATTACAATGGCACCGAATGGTGCCAGAAGCGTTGAGGTCAGAGCCTGGTATAAACCAAGACGGACCAGCCATCCATGGCCACCCGGGAGAGCAAAAAAGGAGAGCGACGAAGGCAAACTGGCAATTATTTCAGGAAAGCGAAATGATGCATGCGATCGGATGACGACGAGAGGCAGGGTGGGGGTGTTGAGGGCTTTGAAGGGGCGGCGGCGGCGTGGGAATGATGTTCTCTTCGTAACCACATCGTTAACTTGTTCATTGTTTTTCGGGCTTAAACTGAAAAATGACGGTAATTCAGGATGTTTGAAAAGGCCATAGAGCAACTTGAAAGTACACAGCCGGACGGAGCTATGGCACAATAGGATTAGAGACGAGTCATGGAGCCTGGCGCTGAGGTTGGAGTGGTGACTCAGATGGGAAGGAAAAAATGGTCTCAAGGAAGGAATGTTCGGTTTACGTCCATAAATAGAAAGCTGTAGTGATGTCACAAGGAAAAGCTGGCGCAAGAGAGGAATAACAAATAAATATTGATTTGGAATTTTGAGAGCGGACAGAATTCATAGAAGAACCGTGACAGTTGACAGCTGGCAAAAAACAACGACTTTGAAAAATGAGTGAGAAATGTGAGATGCCAAAATTGGTTCCTAGAGAAACACCCGCCCTCAAAATTCCAAATCAATATTTATTTATTATTCCTCTCTTGCGCCAGCTTTTCGTTGTGACA